TTCAGTCTTTTCATGGTTCTAGAGGATATTCTATCTATAGTTTTGCCCAACTTTCCTAGCACAGTACTAGCACAAATGAACTTTGGATGGTCGATCTTGGATTCCTACTTTTCTGTACTTTTCTCATCTCCTTTTCCTTTCACGGCTTTCTATTCAAAAACCTGCAAGACTGAACTTTAAATGGTAAGATCGTGGATTTCTTCTTTTCTCATCCCATTTTCCTTTTGTTGCTTCTTTTCAAAAACCTGCAATTTCAACTTTGGATGGTAAGATCCTGGATTCCTACTTTTTTAATGCCATTTTCCTTTTAAAGCTTGCTTATGGGTAGATGTGGAGGAAGGGGCAGGGAACACCACAAATACATGCTCAACTCCAAGCATCCTTTAAAAATTCAGTCTTTTCATGGTTCTAGAGGATATTCTATCTATAGTTTTGCCCAACTGTCCTAGCACAGTACTAGCACAAATGAACTTTGGATGGTCGATCTTGGGTTCCTACTTTTCTATACTTTTCTCGTCTCCTTTTCTTTTCACAGCTTTCTTTTCAAAAACCTGCAAGACTGAACTTTGAATGGTAAGATCGTGGATTTCTTCTTTTCTCATCCCATTTTCCTTTCGTTGCTTCTTTTCAAAAACCTGCAATTTCAACTTTGGATGGTAAGATCCTGGATTCCTACTTTTTTAATGCCATTTTGCTTTTAAAGCTTGCTTTCAAACAGCTCCAAGAATGAACTTTGGATGGGTAGATGTGGAGGAAGGGGCAGGGAGCACCACAAATACATGCTTAATCTTAATCCCAAACATCCTTAAACAATTCAGTCTTTTCATGGTTCTAGAGGATATTCTATCTATAGTTTTGCCCAACTGTCCTAGCACAGTACTAGCACAAATGAACTTTGGATGGTCGATCTTGGATTCCTACTTTCTGTATTTTTCTCATCTCCTTTTCCTTTCACAGCTTTCTATTCAAAAACCTGCAAGACTGAACTTTGAATGGTAAGATCGTGGATTCCTTCTTTTCTCATCCCATTTTCCTTTCGTTGCTTCTTTTCAAAAACCTGCAATTTCAACTTTGGATGGTAAGATCTTGGATTCCTACTTTTTAGATGTCATTTTCCTTTTAAAGTTTGCTTTCAAACAGCTCCAAGAATGAACTTTGGATGGGTAGATGTGGAGGAAGGGGCAGGGAGCACTACAAATACATGCTTAATCCCAAACATCCTTTAAAAATTCAGTCTTTTCATGGTTCTAGAGGATATTCTATCTATAGTTTTGCCCAACTGTCCTAGCACAGTACTAGCACAAATGAACTTTGGATGGTCGATCTTGGATTCCTACTTTTCTATACTTTTCTCATCTCCTTTTCCTTTCACAGCTTTCTATTCAAAAACCTGCAAGACAGAACTTTGAATGGTAAGATCGTGGATTTCTTCTTTTCTCATCCCATTTTCCTTTTGTTGCTTCTTTTCAAAAACCTGCAATTTCAACTTTGGATGGTAAGATCTTGGATTCCTACTTTTTAGATGCCATTTTCCTTTTAAAGTTTGTTTTCAAACAGCTCCAAGAATGAACTTTGGATGGGTAGATGTGGAGGAAGGGGCAGGGAACACCACAAATACATGCTCAACTCCAAGCATCCTTTAAAAATTCAGTCTTTTCATGGTTCTAGAGGATATTCTATCTATAGTTTTGCCCAACTGTCCTAGCACAGCACTAGCAAAAATGAACTTTGGATGCTCAATCTTGGATTCCTACTTTTCTATACTTTTCTCATCTCCTTTTCCTTTCGCAGCTTTCTTTTCAAAAACCTGCAAGACTGAACTTTGAATGGAAAGATCGTGGATTATTTCTTTTCTCATCCCATTTTCCTTTTGTGGTTTCTTTTCAAAAACCTGCAATTTCAACTTTGGATGGTAAGATCTTGGATTCCTACTTTTTAAATGCCATTTTCCTTTTAAAGTGTGCTTTCAAACAGCTGCAAGAATGAACTTTGGATGGGTAGATGTGGAGGAAGGGGCAGGGAGCACCACAAATACATGCTTAATCCCAAACATCCTTAAAAAAATCAGTCTTTTCATGGTTCTAGAGGATATTCTATCTATAGTTTTGCCCAACTGTCCTAGCACAGTACTAGCACAAATGAACTTTGGATGGTCGATCTTGGATTCCTACTTTTCTATACTTTTCTCATCTCCTTTTCCTTTCACAGCTTTCTATTCAAAAACCTGCAAGACAGAACTTTGAATGGTAAGATCGTGGATTTCTTCTTTTCTCATCCCATTTTCCTTTTGTTGCTTCTTTTCAAAAACCTGCAATTTCAACTTTGGATGGTAAGATCTTGGATTCCTACTTTTTAGATGCCATTTTCCTTTTAAAGTTTGTTTTCAAACAGCTCCAAGAATGAACTTTGGATGGGTAGATGTGGAGGAAGGGGCAGGGAACACCACAAATACATGCTCAACTCCAAGCATCCTTTAAAAATTCAGTCTTTTCATGGTTCTAGAGGATATTCTATCTATAGTTTTGCCCAACTGTCCTAGCACAGCACTAGCACAAATGAACTTTGGATGGTCGATCTTGGATTCCTACTTTTCTGTACTTTTCTCATCTCCTTTTCCTTTCGCAGCTTTCTATTCAAAAACCTGCAAGACTGAACTTTGAATGGTAAGATCGTGGATTATTTCTTTTCTCATCCCATTTTCCTTTTGTGGTTTCTTTTCAAAACCTGCAATTTCAACTTTGGATGGTGAGATCTCGGATTCCTTTTTTTTAATGCCATTTTCCTTTTAAAGCTTGCTTTCAAACAGCTCCAAGAATGAACTTTGGATGGGTAGATGTGGAGGAAGGGGCAGGGAGCACCACAAATACATGCTTAATTCCAAGCATCCTTTAAAAATTCAGTCTTTTCATGGATCTAGAGGATATTCTATCTAGAGTTATTATTCAACCATACATATTATATTTACATATTTTATATCATTCACATATAAAGCATATGTTTCAATCATAGTAAACACCATACATATTATATCTACATATTTGATATCATTCACATACAAAGCATATATTTCACACAGAGTGCACCCTACACACTATAGTAGCACACTCGGTCGCTTTCCGGGGCGTCCCCCACATAGGGGGGTGATGACGGGATTCTGGAATCCCGTCACGTTTTTTGGCTATGCTCCCTTTACGGGGGAGCCGAGTTGTCAGCCCCTGGCAAGATCTATAGTTAGAATATCCCTGAAAAGGTCCCGGTTGGAAAAACAATCATATGTTGTCAAAGACAATTTTCTTAATTGGATTATACCCAGTGGTATTTAACAACATGTGCTATATCAATATATTATCCAAAGTGGTATTATAATTTATGGATTCTGAAAATACCTTTTGGGCTGTATTCAAAACCACTGTTGGTTCATGATCATGCATATAGAGTTTGACTATCCAACAGTTTATATCTACGTTCGAATTCAAAATCTCCAGGAGGTCCGGTGAGCACACCAACTCAATTACAAAATTGCACATCTTCAATTATCAATTATCAATTTTGTAGGGGTGATCATTTTACCCACACCCATTCCTTTATTGGGTTTGACTATTTGGGCATCCCGGGAACCAAAAATACCATTGCCAAAGAATCTACAACACATGGACCAATGGAATGGTTTTTGGAAACCTGCCGTTGTTAGCAGAATGCAGTAGGGAGGGGTCAGCACAGTGGTTGATACCATAGATAGAATATGAAAGAATATAGAAGAATATGGGATGGATCAAAACCTTCTGTCCCAATTACACCCAATTCTATACAGATTACTTTTTAAAGTAGCTGGTTTTGATCGATGTCCAAATTCAAAATCTCCAGGAGGTCCGGTGAGCACACCAACTCAATTACAAAATTTCACATCTTAAATAATCAACTATCAATTTTGTAGGGATGATATTTGGACTCACACCCATTCCTTTATTGGGTTTGACTATTTGTGCATCCCGGGAACCAAAAATACCATTGCCAAAGAATCTACAACACATGGAATGGTTTTTGGAAACCTGCCGTTGTTAGCAGAATGCAGTAGGGAGGGGTCAGCACAGTGGTTGATACCATAGATAGAATATGAAGGAATATAGAAGAATATGGGGATGGATCAAAACCTTCGGTCCCAATTACACCCAATTCTATACAGATTACTTTTTAAAGTATCCGATTTTGATCGATGTCCAAATTCAAAATCTCCAGGAGGTCCGGTGAGCACACTGTAGCTAAATGGGTACGGGTCAAATTTGACCCCAGCTCAATTTCAAAATTTCACATCTTAAAAAATCAACTATCAATTTTGGGGTGTGATAATTTGACCCACACCCATTCCTTTCTTGGATTTGACTATCGAATACCACTGCCAAAGGATCTATATTTCTGGGAACCACCAGCAACAGTGACAATTTCTTTGGAAGATTTTGGGCTGAAATTCGCATGCCAGAACCTAATACACCAGCATAATGACAACATTTGGTAGTCATTCCAAAGGCCCAAACAACCAAATCACAAGCTAAATGACCGCTTTTGTGATCATTTTTGAGTGACCTTTTTTTTACCAATCATCGACCCGGATTTTTGAGCCATTTTGGGATTCTATCTATAGGTTTTTTTCAGACCGTTTTTTTTGAAATTCCAGAGATTCTATCTACTTCAGGATGGTTATATATATATACATATATATGTATATATCTAAGGTTGGTACACATATCATGTGTTTTCTTTTGCTTTTCTCAGATGGGATATTTTTCGATCCCAAATCATGATCCAAGAGTTGATCCAGTCGTCATAGGACTATTAGCCTCTGTTAAACTCACAGTTTGCTATGGAAAATGGCCCATTTATGGATGGTTTACCTGGGTTTACCTATGAAAAATGGTGATTTTCTATCGTTTACCAGAAGGTACATGTTCCCATTAGTGACTTGAAGTCCAAGCATGGTGACGACCAAGAAGTCCCCGCTCCAGGTAGAACAACCCATTTCCATTGATCCACTGGGACTGGTGACCGGTACCTTAGTGCCTCAGAGGCGCAGGGAAAATCGCCAGGTTTCGGATGATTTGGGGGTACCCCCATGACTTTGGAAAGCTTCATATATTGGGGATGATCATACTAACATGAACATCATGAACTGAGACATCCTATTAACCAGCAAACCAAAAAATGATAATTACTTTACTTCGTGTGATCCCCACCATGACATTTATACATTTTCTTACTGGCAAATCTTCTGGCATTCTATCTGACATATCTTCTGACATTCTATTTGACATTCTATCTGGCATATCTTCTGGCATATGATCTGGCATATCTTCTGGCATATCTTCTGGCATTCTATCTGGCAAATCTTCTGGCATTCTATCTGGCATATCTTCTGGCACTCTATTTGACATATCTTCTGGCATTCTATCTGGCATATCTTCTGGCATATATTCTGACATATCTTCTGGCATTCTATCTGGCATTCTATCTGGCATATCTTCTGGAATATCTTCTGGCATATCTACCTGGCATATCTTCTGGCATATTTTCTGGCATTCTACCTGGCAAATCTTCTGGCACTCTATCTGACATTTTATCTTCCTACATGAGGTCCGGCAGGGAACACTTGGCGTGGATGGTCGTGGTTGAGGTCCGGCAGGGAACACTGGGCGTGGATGGTCGTGGTTGAGGTCCGGCAGGGAACACTGGGCGTGGATGGTCGTGGTTGAGGTCCGACAGCGAACACTGTGGATCGCGAGTCGCAGTTGAGCAGGAGGACGAGGAGGACAACGAGAGGAGGGAGGACGAGAGGAGGAGGAGAGGAGGACGAGGCAGGAGGAGGCGGAGGAGGAGGAGGAGAAGGAGGAGGAGGAGGAGAAGGAGGAGAAGGAGGAGGAGGAGGAGGCAACTGACATAAAATCTAACAACCCTCACCTGGCAGGTGGGGAAAAATGCAGGATAGGTGGAGGTTTATTAACGATTTCATGGGATTTGATGGTGATAAATATAGGGATTTACCTTGCCCAACAAACATGGGGATATCAATTGGAATTACCTTCTGCTGATTTAAGATAGTTATGGAAAATGACCAATTGTAATCGGACAATCATCTATACACGGACCATGTTTTTATATCTGTTAAACTATGTTAAATTTCCAGAAGGTGATCAACAAGAAACTGGCTTTACATTGGATGAAAGATGATGAAAGGTAGATTAGCCAACAAATGAGCTTCGCTTGGTGGCTTGTCATCACTTCCCATCCCTGATCATGATTGGCACCCCACTAGTATTTGGGCTTGGAATATGAGTATTGTATAAACCTGGGTTTGTTGAAGGTGTCTTTTTCCCATGGAAAATCCACCATTTGAGGAATCTATAGGTATTTTTCCCCATCTGCCAGGTGAGGGTTGTTAGATTTTATCTAAGTTGCCTGCTCCTCCTCCTCCTCCTCTCCTCCTCCTCTCGTCGTCCTCCTCCTCTCGTTGTCCTCCTCCTCTCGTTGTCCTCCTCGTCTCGTTGTCCTCCTCGTCCTCCTGCTCAACTGCGACTCGCGATCCACAGTGTTCGCTGCCGGACCTCAACCACGACCATCCACGCCCAGTGTTCCCTGCCGGGCTTCAACCACGACCATCCACGCCCAGTGTTCCCTGCCGGACCTCAACCACGACCATCCACGCCCAGTGTTCCCTGCCGGACCTCGTGTAGGAAGATAAAATGTCAGATAGAGTGCCAGAAGATTTGCCAGGTAGAATGCCAGAAAATATGCCAGAAGATATGCCAGATAGATATGCCAGAAGATATGCCAGATAGAATGCCAAATAGAATGCCAGATAGGATGCCAGATAGAATGCCAGAAAATATGTCAGAATATATGCCAGAAGATATGCCAGATAGAATGCTAGAAGATATGTCAGATAGAATGCCAGAAGATATGCCAGATAGAATGCCAGAAGATTTGCCAGATAGAATGCCAGAAGATATGCCAGAAGATATGCCAGAAGATATGCCAGATAGAATGCCAAATAGAATGTCACAAGATATGTCAGATAGAATGCCAGAAGATGTGCCAGTAAGAACATGTATAAATGTCATGGTGGGGATCACACGAAGTAAAGTAATTACTTTTTTTTAGACCCCTTAAGCAAATCAAAGTAAATATATACCTATACTCCTCCCAATCAGTGGTGGATATCCACCATTTTTGTTGGACACCCAATTATTTGTCATTATCGCGTATTGTTCTTGGAGACACTTTGATGTGTTTGTACAACATATCGGATTGAACATAGAAATGTTGTTGTAGATATACTCAATGGCTTCTCATTATCATCTATTTTGCTGTTGGATACCCAATAAATTGCCATAAATTAATTGCCATTGTCTTAAAATGTTGTTGGATATTACCTCCTTTTTTGTGAACCAGATATCTACCCATACATTATCATATCTTGCTGTTGGATACCCAATATATAATTATTAAAATAAAAAAACACATGACAACACATTATCATCTATGGTAGTATTTGTTATGTATATATATATACATATCATTATATATCTACCATTATCTAGCCATCCCATCCAGGCTGATGCTGTTCTTCGAGTCTGACTTGGATTTGGGCGACAGCACACGAGAGCCACTGGGTCCGTTGAACGAATCCAAGCGAATGGTCCCAACCGTTGAACGTTAACCGGGGGCTCCGGTTGGGAATGGTTATGTAACTATAGGGTAAGTATAGAGTTTTATGATGTTGTGTGTTGGATAGATGGTAAGTATAGTTTAACGTTTGATTGATGGTATAGGTATAATGTTTTTTTAGTTACGTTGGATTTACCATTTGGAGTTATAAACCATTGAGTTGGGGCCTAAATTGCTGGAAAATGATAGTCCCTTAACAATAACATGTGGCAGATTGCCTACCGAAGAATGATGAGGTATAGTAGCGATAGCCCGTACAGCTAACAAAATATTGGGACAGCCAAAATACGGCTTTAATCTCAAAATAGCACATTTATGAATTGATGTGTCATGGAAAACCTACGGAGAATGATGATTGTGGTGCCATCCACCCTTGGTTTGTTTGGGGCCCAACGATTTTTTTGGACCTCAGGATCAGCGTTTGTCCATCGCTGGTGGGCACTGCGGAAGCCCCTGGGGCTTGCCAATGCGCCATTCAGCTGCAGTGAAGCGAAGCCAGGGGCCTGTGGCTTGGAATAATCCAAGTTACGTAAGCCACTTGGAAGATAACTCAACTTCACTATCCTAGTGGTTTGACCATCTTGGCCCGTTTTAGGCGGGCATAGTCCTCTTCTAGCAAGCTTTAAAAGTCATACCCATACAAGGGATCCAACATACCTATACAGATCCAATACTAAATCAGGTTTTTGGGGAAGTACTGTAGTCAATAATTATTTAATTATATTCAAATATATTCAATATTATTTCGGGGAAAGGGATTCAGTGTTGGAAGATGATTGACTATACCAGTTATGAAGGTTACCGGAAGGTTAGTAGCTGGCTTACCATTGGTAAATCGGTAGTATGTGGACCCCCAAAGCCCATCACGATCCGAAGTTAAAAGAATGGCCCCGCTTCAGGGGAAGACGCCATCGGAGATGGTTGTTGTAACTCTGACGACTTTGGATCAGTGGATTGTTTTAAATAAAGGACACCTCCAGGAAAACAGAAAATCCATGGGTTTTTTAACCATCAGATACGCAATAAATCCTGTAGAATCTCTCTCAAATGAAGGCAATGATTGCATAAAACAAAGTGATTTTTTGTAGAACTTTCCACTTCACCAATGCAATTATTGGATAAATAGGGATAAATTATCACTTTGGTGCTGCATGAAAACAGCTATCGACTAACCTAACCGGTCTAAGGGCCCTTTTCATTGGTGAAAAACGATTTGCTCAACTGAACAATGAAGATAAATGGCACATGCAGTGATAAGCACAAAGTAAAACCAACGAAGAACGGACATACAACCAGCGACTGATATGTTTTTTTTGTGTTTAAGTCATGAGAGATTCCCAAGTTTGTTTCAATACTAAAATGGTTTAATGACTTGGATGATTTGGGGTAACCATATTTTAGGAAACCTCCATATGATGACAATTTTATGATGGTACCAGGCCTACTGTGCCTTGATTCATGGCCAAAATCACCATAGCTCATCATAAATCATAAATCGCTAATAAATCACCATGAATCACCATAAATCTCCAATAAAGACCATAAATTACCATAGATCACGAATACATCACAAACAAAATCACCATGGGTCTCTAAGAAATGACCAGAAATCATTATAAATCATTATAAATCATCACAAATCTATCAAATTCCACCCAGTTTCCTCAAAAACAGGTCAGTGCTGCTGATTGCGCTTCCAAATGCGTCCGCCGCAGCGACGGCGATATGGGCGCTCCTTGGCGCGCGGTATGATGTGGAGAAAAATCACAGAGATTCCCGATCAAAATTGATGTTTTTATGCGAATAACATGGGAAAATCATAGGAACATATCGGAAAGCGATTTTGAATAATGGTGTTAAAATGTGTTAAATAATGGTTAATAATTGTTCAACGTGGTTACAACCATGGGGCTAAATTAAAACCCCCATAAGTTGGGATGTGGGGCCCGTATAACTATGGTGAATAATAGGAAAAACATGAGAAATTCATGCGAAAATCATAGGAAAATCATGGGAGATCGCAAGTTTCCGGAGGGTCATCCAGATTTCATCTCTTTTAGCGAACGATGCTACCTGTTTGATAACATTTGACAACCATTTCTGGGAGGGGTCGGACTGTGCAATTCGTTCTATGATGTTCTCTGAATAATTATTAGTGAAGTACACTCTCAGCTGTTGCGACATCCAAGGAATTATGGAAGAGAACAGTGATTGAATTGGAAGTTTGATTCCAAAAAAAGATGAAGTCATATGAAGTCCACATAGATAATTACGCCAGAATATGTATATATATGTTTGTGACGCCAGTAAGAGGCCATGCGCGTGTTCATATTTTCGAGGTGGGGGGTGTGGGGCGGGGGGTGTGTGGGGTGGGGTAATAACGTTCTTTTCGACTTCAGCTGCATGGTACATTTTCTTGCACTTCCACGCTGCTGGACGTTCTCTTGCACTTCCACACATACGTCATGCTACGCTGCTGGACGTTCTTGCGCTTCCACACATACGTCATGCTACGCTGCTAGACATTCTCTTGCGCTTCCACACATACATCATGCTACGCTGCTGGACGTTCTCTTGCACTTCCACACCTGCGTCATGCTACGCTGCTGGACGTTCTCTTGCACTTCCACACCTGCGTCATGCTACGCTGCTGGACGTTCTCTTGCACTTCCACACCTGCGTCATGCTACGCTGCTGGATGTTCTCTTGCACTTCCACACATACATCATGCTACGCTGCTGGGCGTTCTCTTCCAAAAAAAAGAACTTTTCCAGGAAGCTCTCGGGACACAAAATTACAGTTTCGCTTGGGAAAACACTAGGTTTTCCAATTTTGAGGCGACCCTTCCATGGAATTGCTTACCACAAAATTATTGAAGAAAATTAAAAATGTGTAAATTTCTACAGGTTTGGACAATTCCACCATTATCCTGTGATTGTCTGATGTCATCACCGACACGGCCTCTTACAGGCGCTGAAACCATTTTTATTTGTATATATGTATGTGTATATCCGTACATGCGTATATACGTATTTACGTATATGTATATACATTAGATATATTAATATTGTATATGTATATATACATATGATTTATCATGATATATTGTTTTGTCGACCTAGTTTGAGACACCTGTAGAGGGTCGAACCCAGCGCATGGTTATCCCTCAACTTGGGACAGCAATTTGAATTTATAATCAGATACAGCACATAACATATCATAACATGGCTAATCATGCTAATCCTGGACAGTTTTTCTTCAATTTTTCCTATGTTTTTTTTCCATTGTTGTCGTTGAGCCCCGATCTTCAGCTCCCAGTCCACCCATCTTGGAGAGAGCCAATCATCCTGGAATGATATCCCCGTTGACCAATATTTGGATCTGAAAACAAAGTAAAGTGGTAAAACCACTGCCATAAACCATCCCCATTCCATGACCATGTCATCCAACCCCAAATGATAGATTTATGGTGTTGGGTTGCCCACATTACCCCTAACTGAATTGGTTTAAAGCCTCATGTTCCCCAGAAAAAATAATTTGAGGGTGTATCCACTTTGATGATATCATGATGGAACATATTCTTGGGACTGGAACATATGCGAGTGGATGCTGATGCAACATGATACTATTATTATCCGTTAATCTGATATGTTTGGGATGCAAAATACACCACATTTGGCAACATTTTTCTCTATTGGTGATACTGGTTGGTCGTTTTAGAATGTTTTCATATCAATGGATTGAAGGGAAACATAATTTACAAGAACACCCATGGTTCTTACCCCCAATTTTAGGGTTTCAACTGTACATCCATTATAAATCCCAGCAGTTCTTGGAGGTCTCAACAGAAGCCCACCAGCTTCGGAGGTTCTGTTGCTGAGCGCGCGCGTGTTGTTGGTGGATTTAACGGCCAGACTGCCACGACCCTTGACCGCCTGCCCCTACGATGTGATCGTTGAGGTGCTGCGCCACAGGGGGCAGGGGGATTTGACAAATATGGGGACAGAATGTGGATGTACAGATTTATAACTATAATATATACATATATATGTATCCAGATTACAGCACTTATATAGTGTATATATATATGCATGTATATAGTCTACTGGATCATTACGTACAGACAGATAGAAATGTTGGGGATGATCCAATGAAGAATGCTTGGATAAACCTTGGTGACCAGCAAGCTGGCATTGTTCTTCGGGAAAATCGACTAGTGAATGGTAGGTTACTGGGTTAAAAGGTTAATCTTTAATAATATGTGGCAATAACTTGAGTATGCATGTGATACTGTGATACATTTGCAGATGCATATATATATATATATATCATGTATGTATATATATATATACTTACGTACGTACGTACGTACATACATGCAATACATTACATTACGTTACATTACATTACATTACATTAATACATACAGACAGACAGACATACAGATAGACAGACCGACCAGACAGGACAGACAAACAGACAGACAGACGGACATACAGACAGACAGACCGACCAGACAGGACAGACAAACAGACAGACAGACAGACGGACATACATACATACATACATACATACAGACAGACAGACAGACATACATACATACATACATATCTACATACATATCTACTTGGCGCGGAGATAAAAGTTGTTTTTTTGGTACGGCGGCTCGGGTCTCATTTCACCTATCGACGCTCAGGGATTCTGAATATTATTGGCAGTGTCTATCATTGGTGAGTCAATGATTTGCGTGTCATCGGTCTATGATAACATGGATTCAGCCTGATATACACTTAAAAATGAGTATTGAGCCTGGTCGGGTAGAAATTCTTCAGAGTGATGGATGAAACTTTGTGTTTTTTGTTTCACATGGTTTCAACTGAGCATGAATCTTGAATGAATGCACATCAGGAAATGATTCCCTGTAAGAATGATTGTTGTTTGGGTCATAATGACTCCAAAGGTTCCATAGTCAAAATCGGGGATCTTCTATTCGCAGATATTTGCAGTATTTTCTGGGATGGTCATATCCTCCAAAATAAATGGTTGATACGTTTTCGGTGAGGAATCCCCAATAGTAATTGGATGACCATCCCCCGGTATGTGGTTACACCTACTTAGTTGTTTATATATATATATATATGTACACATTATGCTATATCGCTATATGTACCTACATATAAATAATATAATATATATATATATTATACAAATTACATACATCTACACAATATACATAGATACATACATACAATCTACATATATATTTACACAATATATATATAATTATATATATATATATACATGTACATATATGTCTTATTATTATATTGGTAGGTACCAAACATATCTATCTGTCTATCTATATTTATATATACATTCACATCCATCATACAGTACATATTCATGTATGTATATATATATATATTTATATTTATATTTAACCATGTGTGTATACGGGAACGTCATGTCACTCTTTAGGCAGCCCCACCAGGAAGGCGTCTTGAAGACACAGCTCACGCCGTCGAAGGACTCCCCAAGGCCGAGTTAATCCAAGTTTGAGCAGTGTTCAAACACCTGTTGGTTGATAGTTCGGGGCTTTATCCTGGGATACGGCTCATTTTATAATGACCGTGAGGATTATCACAACTATTATAATCCAAATAGTTATTATAGTATGATGATACTGGCAAAGTTTATTGGGATACTGCTCATTTGATACGCTAATCCTGGGACTATCCCGGGATTTGACCGATGTCAGCTTTGTATGGACATCCCAACGGTGTCAGCTGGTTGATCGATGCCATCGCTTGATGGTTGCCTCTTACATCCTTGTTGCGTCATGGTTATGCATGCTTTGATTGGTGTTTCACATGATTCCGCTGTTTCACATGAGCCTGAAATGGAACCTGGAATGTTGATTTTAGAAGTCGAACCCACTTATCTTCATCCCATTGAGTATAAATGGCTAATTAGCCCCTCTATACATCAGTATTTTTTATTATATATATATTATCGCTTACATATAACATATATATATTATAAGACAAGGTTATACAAATTATCCATGGACGAACAAACCATGGCAACAACCACCGCCTCTACCGCCACCGCACCGCACAGTGTACTTTGGAGCTTCACCTATTCACCACCGATGCCCACTGGTTCGGTGACGTTGTACTCCAGCACCACCACATCTTTGACGGTGGCGAAGGGAAGGGGCCGGATTCGAGGTGAAGTCATTATCAATATTTCCCCCTCTGGCCTGCTTTAGGGTTTATTTAGTTTTTTTTATGGATGTTTATGGCCTGGGCTTGATTTATACGGGACTCTTTTGATAACATGGGGATAAACATGAATATACTTGATACATCTTGATACACGATGGTTGGATGAGTTTAGGAGTTGTGCTACCCAATGATGATATTTGGGATTATCCATGAACTGGGAATCCCCATCAAAACCAACCAATAGAAGGGATTTGTGATGGTTGTTTGACAGGATGACACAACCCATATACAACTGGGATTTATCTACTATATATATACATATCCGCATGTATTTATATTGCATATCTCCATGTATATGTGGATGATAAGCATTTACTAGAAAGTTACTGGCTGCACATCCAAGCTGACATGCATATTGTTGATTGTTCAATATCAGTAATTGGAATCTGTATCCCGAAGTTGATGAAATCCGAAATCCGGTCAAAAAAGGTTCAACCCATGTTTAACTTGCTGCACTCCAGATTTTTCTTGGTAACAGATGGCAAAATCTCCGTTTGTTTGTCGGTTGAACTATGTTTTTGTTCTCTGCAAGTTCATATCATATATCATATATCGTATATCATATATCGTGTATTTATCAGGTATATATATATATATACATCATATATACAGTATATATATATATCACATATATATATATACATCATATATACAGTATATATATATCACATATATATATATATATATCATATATGATGGCAAAAAAAACACCCGTTGTTCCCCACGGTCACCGCAATACACCGCTGATCGCTTGGAAGATGCACGTCTCCTGGGACATGCCTATGACGGTGACCTGTGGTGTGCGAGATGGATCCGGAGGCGGAGTTCACACAGAAACCACTGGGATTTACCATCTGGTTATTTATCATAGCTATGGAAAATCCATTATAAATGGAGGCTTCTAGCTGGGAAAATCATCTGTAAATGGGCAATTTTACATAGCTATGTTAAATAGCCAGAGGGTATTGTTCATTGATGATTCGATGATCGCCGACGTTATAAGTAACGGGATTAACTATGGTGAAGTTAAGTGCAAAAATCGCCCACCAAACGTAGAGATTGAACCACAAAAAATTCGGATTTGCGGCCAAACATGAAGATTTATAAGTTGATTTTGTGATCGCCGACGTTGGTTTATAAGTAGGTTGGCTATGGTTTATGGTAGATATATTTGTAATTAATGGTGATTACAACTTTAGTTGATGGATTCAGCTATGTTAGTCTTCGGCTTGAACCCACCAACCAGCCTAGGCAAACTGACTGCTTTCATACTTCAGCCTGAATACTATAATGTACTATTGACTATATTGTACTATCATGTTTTTTTGGCCATGTGCATATATATATTATCAGAGTGTGTGTGTGTATGTATGTATGAATGTATATATATATACATACATACATATGTGTATATATATATATGTATATATGTACATGCATATATATATATGTATGTGTGTGTGCAGCGTACATGCATATATATATATATATATGTACATGTAATTAGTATGGTATGTATCATATATATATACACTTAAACAGTAGTTATATTGGATGCTATATGGAACTTGATGGTGTATATGTATAATTTCTGGTGGGTGTTTAGCATAATATGTTGGCATTCTGGTTGAGTAGCAATGTTTTCCAGCGTTTTTTCACAATACAACAGTTGCATAGCATGATTATATATGTGTATACACCCCAGAATACATATGTGCCTTGCCATGTAATTTTGGTATTAGGGTGGTATAATAATGTTCGATATATCATAATATATCCACTTCCCAGCTACATTGACATGTTAGTTAGTTTTTCTTTGCCTCGGGCCTCGGGGTACTGTATCTGCGATTAAACCAAGACCCACAGACAGACCCAAAGACATTCTACCTAACAAAAACTTATGTTGTCATTGACACACCAAGCTTTCTCCTCCTTACTAAGTGTTTCTCTTTTCAATTACGGCGGCTTTTTTTTTATGATGATTTTGTTTCTCCAGATCTGCCGTACTTGAGCCAAACAAAAATCCCCCAGTGTTGATTTGTTCATGTACGGGACAACTGGCTTATCTATTCAATTCTAAACGAACCGATCAGTATAACAAGATGGTTTCATGGCTCATACAGAAGGGGATCTAAGCAGTTAAAAATTTGATGGTTGATCCAATGTTGATTGTTATGTGGTTTTTATTTTTTCTTTGTATGGAAATCCATTGCCATGTTCATACATAATATATATACAGTATATATATATATCAATGGGAATTCCAGGATCCTAAAATGGAGGTACGTTAGTACCATATAAGGCCATATTTTGTGGGGATATTCCCTTACATAGGCCTCAACAATAGGCCTTATATATGGTAGGTACCTCCAATCTACTCCCAACTGCCCAAGTCGTGGCGAAATCCCAAAAATCTTGAAATTAGCTTGGGGGAAGGCTTTTGTGGAAGTCGTGGCGATGCGGCGTTTAGCTTGTGTTTAGGGTAGGTTGCTGTCTTACTATCTCATGTAGACCTAAAGTGGCGAAGCGGCGTTTAGGTTGTGTTTGGGGTAGGGCGTTGTTTTACTATTAGCATAGTGCTTTAATCTTGCTAGTTGCGTTCTCATTGTGTTTGGGATGGTTGCTGTTGGGTTCTGCAGCTACTGGCGTCTTGCTGTTGCTGCAGCTGCTGGTTCGACGGCTGCTGCTGTTGCTGTTTCCGGGTACTTCTACACAACGCTGGGATTATCATCTCTACACTGCCATGGCGGTGTGCTGGGATTCTGCAAATTGTCATTGTTTCGCTACCAGTGATCCAAGGTAAGGAAGGGCAGGTTTGCGGCTTGCGGGTCAAAGTCCATGTGTGTAGATGCGGGGCTTTTTCCGTACCTCGTTTTGGACCTCGTTTTTTTCCTTTATCAGAACCCATCCTGCAGTATACAAACTAGGAAAAGGGCCTGCTTCGCGTTTTGTTTGTGGGCGTCAACAGTGCCCACGAAAAAAGGCCCGTTGGAAACCGGCGTTCCGATGGGATTCGATCAAAAACGAATAGAACCATGATAGTGTGGTCAAGGCTTGTTAAAGCTAGCGTTTCCAATGGGGAAAGGGGTTTTGCAAGGTCTGTGCCGGGACAGGGGTCGTGGCGAGCGTTTTGATTGGGAATAGCTGTCAAACGCAAACATTGCAAGGACTTTGGCGTATGGGTGTAGGATCCTGAAATGGCCATTGAATATATGTACTAACCACTACCCTCTGGTGTCATCAACCGCGGCTGGGAAATCCCCAATGAAAATGGAGGGAAATGTCCATTGCCAGGATTGATTACCGGAGAATGAATATCCCATAAGGAACCTTCATTTACCAGCTTTGACTCTATTATGTACATACAATTATAGACATGACTATTGGTTTTATATGGTTTTCCGTGCCATTTCTATACATTAAATGAATATATATATATACTGTATATACATATGGGTTATATATATATATTGGTTATATTATATATATAATTATTGTTTATAACTATATATTGGTTTTTAATATACTAAGCACTACCATTCTTTGACACTTGCCAACGCCGATTTTTTGTCGCGAGGCTTGGCACAAGTCTCCGCAGAGGAGGATTTCACCGGGGCGCGTGCTTTTGTGGAGGTGGGGGTTCTTCAAAAGCTCCGGGGGGTAGAACAACCTGCAGGATTATTGGATACTTATAGTATAATCTAAATATTTTTTTTAGGGGATATACTATAGTACTGTAATCTCAGAATTACAAAATGCAATATATATATATATGTATATATGTATAGAGATATATATATACATATATACATATATATATGTATACATTTATATATATATATATGTAGATATATATATATACATATACATATATACATATATACATATATACATATATACATATATACATATATACATATATACATATATACATATATACATATATACATATATACATATACACACACATATATATACATACATTGATGATTATATAGGGGATTATATGATTATGATTGGGGATAAGATAATTAGTTCTTTTTTTAATATACCCAATACTGGGGATCCTGGATGAATTTGATCAGCGACCTCATGTCGTGACGGGAATCGTCTCGAAAGAAGCATATTTTAGTTATTTTTAGTTTGGGAAAGTACGATAATTCAGCCGGAATAGATCCCAATATCTATTCAACCTCATTAAACCCACCACCCCAAAAAAAACATGAATCCATAGAGTCAATAGGGTTATAATTTCAGCCAGAATATTTTGCGTTGATGAAACCCTTATCATCATCACCACTACGTCTCATATGGCTTTGTCTGAAAATTGGATATACCAAAAAAAACACCATAAATGACCATGTTTAATAGGGAAACTGATCATTAACCAGTTGAATTTAGGGGTATCCTATTTTCAGAGACATATCATATGCGCCATGATCAACATCTGTACCATTCGTGGATTCCCATGGTGAGATGGATGACCAGGAATCCCATGCGATGATGTAACGGCATAGCATGGTATTTTTTGTTTCTCCAAAAACGGAGTTATCCAGTTATCCCCAGAAATTGTAATTTTAATGGAAACACTAACATTTGACATCCATTGGAATTTTGGAATTGGGGGTATCCCATCAGACAAAACCATGATTGTAAATTTATGTTCTTATTTATTTTGTTGTTTGTTGTCACATTTCAGTGCTCAGTGCTCAGTGTGGAAAAACCCACGCCATGTTCAGTTTTTACCCCCATTGGAGGTGATTATCCATGTGTTTTTGTTGTCAACAGTCATGTAATTTCATGTTGAGCAGTGTTCAAAACCGCTGTTGGTTTATGATTATTTCGGGGATTATCCTACCCTTTATATATTGGGGATTATAATAATCTAAGAACCGGGAATCCCGTTAGCCAACCAGGACTAAATGGAATGACAGAGGGATTTTGCAGAAAATGCTCTTGGGGTCCTCTCAGGTTCGCATCACCGGCCTGGTTCCCTTCACTCAGTACACCGTGGTCTGCATAGGTCTGCATGACCGCGGGGAAAACCGGGGACTCCTGGGATGAACCAAAACTGATGAACATCCAGTATCAGCTATACCATGGTTGACCCAGGCCTAAACCCAATTAGAGAGATGAGCGTGACATCATATATATATATATATGTATATATATGTATATGTATGTATATATATATGTATATGTATGTATATACTGGTAAGAGATTTCAGCCGTGGCTATCTATCTGATTAAGTAGTTATTTTGCGTGAAAGTGTCTGCACTAAGTTGGTCCCAGACTTGGTTGTCGAGAGAAGCTGCAGGACAAGGGGAGAGCCCATGGGGTGATTTTCTGAAATGTTTTTTTGAAGTTGGTTAAACCTATTAAAACATATTAAAACATATTAAAACATATTAAAACATATTAAAACATATTAAAACATATTAAAAACCCGTTTTGTGTTGGACGAATCCCAATTTGTGGTTGGCTAAGTCTTCTTTGGGTTTGGTAAAATTGATGGTGATACACTGAAAATTGATGGTGTATGATCACTTTCCCGATGATATTTGTCAGGCCCATTCCTGAGGGTATAGCCCATCTCTAGACAAACCCATATATATATGGCCAAATGTGCCATGAGAATTTGGGTCAATAGATAGATCATCTAGAAAAATAGCTAATTTTCTATGGCTATGTTGAATTACCAGAGGATTTCCATGGTAATTGAACATTGCCATCGCAGGTGCGGCCATTGGTGACAGCATCTTGACGGCCAACGTGACGCGGTTGCAGCGGCAGCGCAGCGCTTGCAGCGGTTGCAGCGGTTGCGGTTCATTGGGATCAGTGGATTGATCGGGATTTCTCCCGAGCCCTGTATTTTGATGGTTAGTAAGGGAAAGTATCCCAATAACCATAATAGGATATCATAACAGGATATCATAATAGGATATCAAAACAGGATATCATAATAGGATATCATAGTATATCATAATGGTTTCTGAACTTTTCAGGTTTAGGAATTATCATAATTTGCCCAGATTGATGTGATTTTTTTTTGACCAAATGAAGGGTCTGGTGAAAATTGATCCCAATGTTTTTTGATCCGAATGAAAGAATGAAATTCTATGTGCTATAATATGTAGATGGGGGAGATGGGTCCAAACCTCTATGAATTCTTGGTTTCGAACATCCATTCAGCAGTTACCTGAACTTGCTCAGGTCACGGCGGAAGGCGTGGCGACGCAGAGGGACACGGATGATAGCGTCAGCAGCATCAACTTGAACATTCAGGACCGGACTCCGAGAGGAGATCATGGAGAGGATGGCAAGCTGGAAACATCCCATTTCTAAAATGGATGACATTGGAAAGCCTGGGAAAATGTGGGTATATATGGAGAAAATCATCCATAAATTGGTGGTTTTAATGGGAAAGTCCACTATAAATGATTATAAGTGGAGGTTTCAAGCTGGGAAAATCTTCCAGACTACTGTAAATCAGAATGTTTTGGGATGAATGATGAACATCGAAGTCTCATTGCTCTGTGGAGCCAGGAATTCCATGGTATCGTAGCTGACTTCACCATCGAAGAGATTTCTATTTTCTGGGGATTGAGATGATCCAATTCCATCCATGATAGACTTAACCTCCCTCTCCCCATGATGATCCTACTTTTGTGCTTTGCATTTCCGATTTTGTTTGGTAAAATCCTTGAGTTTCGTTTGCTAGTTGCTACTTGCTAGGGTGGGATTCCCATGAAAACCTAATTTTAATTCCATGATATCCCCATATTTGCAAGTTAACTCCGCGATGATAGCCCTATTGGTTCATCCGACCCATGATATCCCCCAGGATATTTTTGTTGGTCTGAAAATGGGGTACCCCCCCTTCGATGGTTGATCATGTTCTCTGTCATGAAACATGGTCAGTGGGGGGATATGCCCCCATTTTCGGACACACACACCCCAGTTTCCCCTACCAATTGCTTAAGTCGTAAATCCCTACTTTTGTGTTTGATGATTAAAATTGATTAAATCCAAAAAATTGGTTGGTTCAATCCCAAGCGAATCCAAAATTTTATATAGTTGCTCATGGTTCTATATGTTCTATTTGTCCCACCATATCCCCACTCTCTTCCCTAAAAATACCCTGGAAAATCCCCATAAATTGATTGGTTAAATACCCAAAGCACGAAAATCTTTGTGATCGGTGAACTTCCCAAATCCTGGATTTGCTGAAGATTATTTTCAATTTTCCCATAGGCTAATCCACCATTTGGGGAATCTGCTAGGATGATGTTTAATACATATATATATATGATTATATATGATTATATGTAGAATGATATATATATATATATATATTTGGGACTCCTTAAGCACATCCAAGTTTTTTGGCAAATCCAAGTTAAATGCTTCGTGAAATCGGCGGAGTGCGAATTCAGGCCCTTTGCAGCGACGGCACCGAAAAACCGGTGACTGCCACGATGTTCCCTCCGTGCCTGGATGGATTTATGGATGTTCATCCCCCCGGCGACGTGGTGTTTATAAGTATTGATCCATAGCCATATAGTTGATAATATAGTTAATAGTTAATATGTTCTGTTATTGTCAGAATAGTGGATGTCACTTGTAATATGTATGCTGTATGATTGTTATTGTGTTTTGTTTGTTATTTGTTTTTCATGTTGTTACTATTGGTATTGTTATTCTTATTGTGTTTATCGGTGTGTTATTATTCCTAGTATGTTTTTTTAATGATTATTATACATACTTATTGTTAGTATACTTCTTGTTATTATGTTTATTGTTACTATACTTACTGTTATTATATTTATTATTTTACTTATCATTATACTTATTGTCATTATTATACTTATTATTTTGGAGAACATTATTATGGATAACGGTATTATTATTATTATCAATATCAATAATACATAATACTGACACTTGTACTATTGGAGAATACCAGTAGTATTGTGGATGTATTCTGATATACATAAATATGTTTGATATTGATAAGCTATGTGGTATATCCTATTTATTATTGATAACATTATCATTGTCAATGTTGATGATAATGATAAGATGTATATATATATATATATATGTATATATATATGCGCTATATTATCATAGTATGCAGTATTAATGATAGGCATCATAATTGATTCAAACTAGTTAACTAGTGACAATATCAATATCAATAATATTAATAATGGCGAGAACAAAGACCATCTAAATATGCTGTATATATATATTCTGTCAAAGGGAACTGAACACTAGGACACTTGTGATGTACATGCTTAACTGTACATCTGGACGCCGTACTGGCTCAAGTCCGTGTGCGAGGAAAAGGGTCCGAGCTGCGCTTGCCATGCCTCATCAGTGTCCGGCAATACTAGCATAACAGGTACCGCAATTGATAACTACATCCAGAACAAGGATTCATTTGTTCACAGGTTATCAGCCGTAGGGCTCACTTCTCCCGCCGGGAGAGTGGTACCTGCGTGCTGGTAGCCGGGCCTTCTGAGCAATTGATTGAGGACGCAAAGGACCAATCAGCTCACCATCGCAAAGATGCAAGGCGGCAGCGGAGATTCGCGCACCACGCAGTTTACCTTCAATGAGAACGCTGCTATGCCGGTCGAGGAGGTCAATCAATCTTCCCCTGGCGACACGGCAGACAGTGGCGGGATACGCTCTACCCGAACTACACAGTCCGGATGGCAAGTCACATCAAACAGACGAAGAATATCCACCCAAAGTACACCTAGATCTTCTCGAAACAGTGCTCGGAGTGATGTTGTCCGCCAAGGGCATCGACCATCTCGAGGACGTACTACTCCAAGGGACAGATCCACCAGGGCCGTAACCGACCGAATTGGTGAGAGGACCGGGGATAGTCGTGTTAAGAGGAGATCGACGGATACTTCTGTGGCTAGTGAACCTATTGCCATGATAGAAGAACTACGGGCACAATGTCAATCCCTACGTAATCAGCTGAACAACATGGAAGCATACGCTGCATCCAGGGATCAACTGATTCATGACATCGAGATCAGGTTCACTGAGTATCTTCGGGAACACAATCAGAATGTATTTGATGAGGTCAATGCACTCAATCATAGATTGTCATGTTCCGCAAACGAGGTTGCAGAATATCAAGCAGAACTAATGGTAGCATCTCAGGAAGATGAAGGTGCAACAATACGCATCCAAGACCTTGAACGCCGAGGTGCCCTAATGGAACATGGTGCACGACGGATCCATCAACGTGGTATGGAGATCCAGGAGGAGTACAAGGATGAAGTACATCACCTTCAAGGACTACTGGGTAATACGGAGGCAAGACTACAACAACTTCATCAAACCAATGTCTTAACCACCGATATTGCCAATCGACTATACAATGAAGGTCAAGAAATGCAAAATGATTTCCAGAACTCAATCATGGAATATCGTAATCGATCTGAAATGGCATCCTCCTCTAGTAATCAACTTGAAGTGATTAGCCAGCAACAATCAATTGCAGTTCATGAATTATCTGAGCGAAATCAGCTATTGAGTGAAGCCTTGGTTCAGTCTCGTAAACAGGCCGAGCTGTATGAGAGCAGTATTGATGAGATCACTAGAGAGTCTAGGAAGAAGGTGTTCGAAGCAAATCAGGCCAAATTGGAAAGTGATCTGAAGCATCGAAACACTGAACATGATACCGTCAAAAGAATTGCATCATACAGGAACCAAGAGGCCGAAGCAATATCTCACCTGAGGCTTGAATCACAGGCTAGTGCAAACTCGATCGCAAGGGCAGAGCACTATGAAGAGCTCTATGCCAACGAGCAGAAGATGAACTGCGAATTGAAGGATGAGATCAAGTTGCAGAACACGAAGTTACGAAGATCGTTGACTCAGGGTTCTACGACCGACGGTCGTGGCCCCGAAGAGATGCTTGTTGAAGATCTACGTAATCAAGCTAAGATCGCTCAAATCAGGGTTCAGGATCTAGATCATGAAGTTCATGAATGCTTACAAGAGAACTTGTTGTTAAAAGAAAGGTTGGCTGAAGTTGCGGATGTAGGGGCGTCGTCCCTCACCAATGCTGAGGTCCGAACTCTAAGATCTGAACTAGAGAGTGAGCGAAAATTAAAATTGGCGAGTGGTGTTCAACAATATGAGAGATCATGCATGTTCATGGGGGAAATCCAGGATAGGGATGAAAAGATTGGCATCAAGAATTCTGAGATTGTTGACATGAAACGTCACTTAGATGAACTGAGAAAGAGTCTCAAGGATTCTGAAACATCTATGGCTAGGATCAGTCCTGACACACTTCCCTATTCGGCAGGCATTCCCAACTCCGATCTCGCATCCAGACTGGTCATCGACAAACTGGAGAATGACGTGAGTGAGGCTAACTGTGAAAACGCTATTCTGAAATCTTGGGTTTCGCAGATTGACAAGGAGTTGACTTATGAGACAAATGTGGCTCATTCCTATCGTGGGCATGCTGTACCTCCTCAACAACAACAGCATTCTCAATCAAGCAAAAGAATCGCTGATCTGCTGAAAGAGGTTGACAACAAGATCGCTGGCGGAACTGAGAGGGAATACTACAGGCCATCGAGTGGATGGGGCGGTCCGCCTGACCCTGATGGACCTCCGGACCCTTTTGGGCCTAACGGTCCAGGACCACCTCCTGAACCTCCTGGTTTGCCATCGGTTCGAGGATCACAACGCGATTCAGCAGATGATGTCTCCACAGCGGCTTACACTGCGGAAGAAGTACCAAGAATGTCAAGACGAGAGGCTGACAAGGTCTATGTTAGCCCATGGCCAAAGCAACAGAATCTTGGGGTTTGGCAATCAGATCTCATCAAGAGTGTTGTTCTTTCGGCAAATGATGGGGATAAAGCCGCATGGGAGGCATGGCTACAGCCGGCTATTCGACCAAATCCTGACATCGAGCTGTTGAATGACAGTGGGGGGCAACGGTATCAGTCCATCGACGCCAAGTTGTCAATTGCATTGTCAAACGTGATAGCCCAAGCCGGTGATGTTGCTCGTCATGTAGCGATCAAATTGAGATTGAGAACGCAAAGTCATAGCCGAAGAGGAACCTATGTCATGGGACGGGAAATCTTGGCTTTGATTCTGGAGCACTTCAGGACCCCAGGTCAACGAGAAACATCCTTCACCATGGAGCACATCGTATCGATGAAGTATCTCGGTGACTCGAACCTAGAAGTGTTCTACGAGAAATGGATGGAGATGGTATCAAACATGATGCCGGATGACGTACCTCCTGATGATTGGCTTCGTGACGCTCTATACAAGAAGATTCGAAATTC